TCCCCCTGCTTGTGTTCCCTCTCTCGCTGTGTCTCTCTCTGTCAAATAAATAAATAAAATCTTAAAAAAAAAAAAAAAGAAAAGAAAAGAAACCTTGTTGGGATGACTTTTTAAAAAGCAAAATGTTTTCCCAACATCCTTTAAGCCTTGTCTTCTTTGCCAAGTCACCTCTTTGGTGAGATCAGTGACCACAGAAAACCAAAGTCAAGGGCAGCCCTGGGAGGGGCAAACGCAGCCCCAGGCCCCCAGCGGTTCCCGGGCTCGGCAGGGCACAGTTTAGAGATGGGGAGCCCAGCACCTCGCGTGTACACAGTGGGCCCTCGGGAGACAGTTCTGCCCACCCCTTTACCAGGCCACCCTGGGACTGACTGTCCCTGTCCCCCGACCAGTCTGGGGGCCTCCTGAAAGCAGGGAAGGCTGCATAATCTCATCCCTAGCGCCCAGCCCAGGGCAGGGGCGGTTGGCTCAGGAAGGGAGAAGGAAGGAAGCTATGCCCCGTGGTCAGGCCAGGGGCTGACAGCCTGGGGAAGCCAGCGTGCTCTGACCACTGTACCCGACAGGGGCTGCCCCCGATCGGACCTGTTCCCCAGCCCCTGAGAGGCGGGGTGAGGCCCGGCACTGCCCACCCCTGAGCCCAGCCTGCGGCCGCCCTGCCTCTGCTCCCGAACAAGCAGGGCCTGCTCTCCCAGCCCTACCATTTGTCTTGCAGCTGCTGCCATTGCTCGGAGCGAGACACTTGCTTGTAGCTTGTGAGCTGTGTATAGGCAAATCTTTCATTTTTCTTTCATTACGCCGGCGTGTACTGTCACTTAATTTTTATGTATGCAATCCTTCCTGACAAATATGATCTGCTGCCTGGTAATTCGTCTGACGCTCATTCTGTTCCGAGCTCTAATTACGGCTCCTATTCCTGACACCGAGGCAGCCGCTCTGCCACCGCTGGGTACCGCACCTGTCAGCCCGGCCATGGCATGACTAATGCCCTTTCATGCCAGCCGCGTGTTAGCAAATACAGAGGCAGGGAGGTGGCTGGGGGAGGGAGAGGCAGGAGGGGATGGGATTTGCATAAACCTTGCGGGGGGCGGGGGGTCAGCGGCCTTGGCCACAGGAGAGGAGGTGGTTGCCGGGGCAACGTGGCTGTCCCCACAGCATCCCCACATAGTAGGTGCGCAGATGCGGTGGATGCATAATTCATGGCCACGCACAGGGGCAAAGGAGCCCTGAGCCCGAGTCCTTACGGAGTCACAATACAATGGCAATTAGTTCAATCTCTTGCCCGACCAAATGTGTGCAGGAGACTGCAGACCCTCACAGTGGAGAGGGGGCCTTTCCTCCTGCGTCTGGGGGACTCGGGTCCTGGGTTTCAGCTCTGCCCTGTGCCTGTGGTGGAGCCCGGCCCGCGGGCCTGAGAGCCGGTCCTGGGCGCAGGGCATCGCTGTGTCAGCTCGGGGCGTCTCCTGGACACGGGCACAAGGCCCCCCAGGAGGGCTCCTTCCATCCATCACTCAGCCCGGCCGCTGCTCGGAGGCCTCGGGAAGAGCCCGGCCTAGCGAGCAGCCTTTTCCCAAGTTCCAATTCCTTCTCATTAATATAATAAGTGCACCAGTCCAAGTCGATCAACTCACCCTGTCGGACGAGCCCGTATTTCTGCCCGTTCCTGATGCTGTGATCCTAACCGGCTCTGACGAGCGCCGCAGCCTCCTTGGTGGAGGGGCCTGACTGACAGGGGACGGAGCCAGTGGCTTGAACTCTTCTCTTTGACAGTTGCCCTTGAATTTCTGACCTTTTGAAGCCCTTAAACCAGAGCGGTACACCGTCCCAAACTCACTGAAACACTTTGATTTTCCTAAGGAAGGGTCTGAGGGGACCGGGGAAGCCAAGGCTTCCTCGCGGCACGGCCAGCTGGGGGCTGCGGAGGGAGAGCCAGCACCACCCTCCAAGGCCCAGCCGCCGTCTTCTGGAGAAGTCTGGGCTCCGGAGGAGAGGCCCGGGTTCGAGTTCTGGCTCTGCCACTACGTAACTCACGTGTATCACTCGAGCTCCCCGGGTTCCAGATTCCTCGTTTGCACAAAGGATCCAACGGACCCTCGCGGCTACTGGAGGTGTGAGTACAGTGTCGTCAGCTCGGGGGAGGGTGGGTCCTGCGCGTCCTTTCAAACCCCGCCCCCCACACTCAGACACATGCACACTGGTGTGCGCACACTCTCGCACATGCACTCAGGCACACGCGTGCACACTCGCTCACTCCAGCAAGCGGCTCAGAGCCGTCGATTCCCAGTTAGCGCATTTCTCCTGATTGCGTGCTTCACCCCGAGAGCCTCCAAGCCCTCGGGACCTGTACGAACAGTGACAGAGTCCACCAGGAAAGTGTGTCTTCCAGAAAGCACCTTCGCTGTCACCAGAAGTGGCTGTTGGTACTTACGGCATGCTGCAGGTACTCGGGGAGAGCACGGGGGACCCGTGGGCTGGGGCCGCGGAGGGTGGAGTGGTTTCCGAGCGAGGCGGTCAGAGAGCCGGGAACGGGCCGGTGGGGGAAGCAGGACGCCCCTGTCATATCTGAGTCCTTCCCACCCGGCCCTGGTTAAATGCTGATATGCCCTGCTGTCACGCACGGGGGACCCTACTTCCACGTACCCCTGGGGGCTCTGCTGGTTTCTGTATTCTAATCAAATGCAAACTCCTCATTCTCCACCATTCTATGAGTCACACCCAGTCACGTACCCGGTGTATGGATTCTGAACTGGGCATCGCTTCAGGTAACCCGAAACCCACACCTGCTCAAGTGTGTTCCCAAGTCCAGCCCTCGGGGGCTCCTGAACGGTGCCAGCCCGCCAAGCTCGGGCACTTAGGCCCCCCCCCACCCGCAGCACCCCTGTGCGCCCCTGCGTGCCCTGCCCTCTGTCCCCTCCTACTGGGTGAGAACCTCGTCCCTGCAGCTTCAAAACTGCCTGTTTAAAAGCCAAAAACTTGAAATAGCTCCAATGTCCCCCACCAGGAGAAGCGGACCGAGTCCCATGCGGGGGAACATGACACGGCAACGAGAAAGACAGACAGCCGCCTTGTACGACAACAGAGCTGCACAAAATGGGCTCCGCCATCCTTTCTGGAAGGGGCGTGGAGCAGTGTGAGGATGCAGCGGAGCCCCATCCAACGCTTCTCAGGGCCTCAGTTTACCCCCTCTGGGTCACTATCGTGAAGAGGTAAATAAAGTCTGGGACTCAGGAAGGCATTTTCCTGCATTAACGAACCAAAGGCTCTGTGCGGAGAATGTCCGCATCTCCCCACGCGGTCACCCAGGACCTCCAGCAGCTGCTGGGACGTCTTGACAGGCCTCCTTACCTAGGGAGTGGGCTGCGGTGGTCTCGGAGCTGAAGAAGCGTCCCAGGCCAAGGTCACCAAGCTTCACGACACCCGTGGCCGTGATGAACACGTTGGCGGGCTTGATGTCTGCCGAGGTAGGAGAAGGCAGTTGGTGTGGGGCTAGGATGTCGGGGGGGCGGGACGGGACAGGCAGCACTGAGCACCGTGCCGGTCCTCAGGGTATCCGAGAGCGGGCACGTGTGTGAGGCCCTGACCTGGACTCACTGACGCCCCTCAGGACGGGCAAGATGCACGACAGCCACCTGGCTGGGTAACACGATGTGGTATGACGTCCTCGTGGATGTCCCCAGAGCCAGAGAGAGCAGAGGCAACGTGGCATCCCAGGCCCCAGGGGCACCTGGCCTCCCGCTGGCTCCGGGCCCCGCAGCCCGGGGAGGGCCCGGCACGTACCTCGGTGCATCACTCGGCGCGAGTGCATGTGTTCCACGGCACTGCACAGCTGGGCAAAGTACTTCCACACTGTCCTCTCGGGGATGAGCCGCTTCTGCTTCTTAAAGTACTGGCGGGGGGAAGACACACAGGCCTGGGTGACGGGCCGCAGGGCAGGGCCCCTGTCCTGTCCCCAGTGGTAGCCAGCACCCGGCACAGGGTGGGTGGGTGGGCTGCTGAACCAACAGTAAGTTTAGGACAAAGGGGGCCGTGTTCCCATCTGTGCTTCAGCCCAAACTGCCCTCCACGGTCCCCCGTCTGCCCCCGGCCCCGCGCTGACCTCCCGGAGGCTGGGGCAGGCCGGGCCCTGAGTGCGTGTCCTGGATGGCTCTGCGGACTACACCCTGAAGGCTGCTCGCGATCACACTTGTTCGGGCATTTTCTGGACACACACCCGTCTCTTCCCACGGCTGTGCCCCGAGCCCCAGTCTGGCCCACACCGCGGGCACCCGATGCCCGGGGGTGAAGTCGAAGGCGCCCCGTCCCTGGGAACCAGCAAATCTCAGGGCATGCGATCGTTCACAAAGGCAGCAGGGACCCCGAGGAAATGGCTTGACATTCTTCACTGGACCCCCAGTTTCGACAGGCCATTAATCGACTTCATTGCCCAAAAAAACATATTTGATGCTCCAGAAAACCAAACCAAACCAAACCCCCAAAACCACCCAAGCTGCACTGAGTGCGCTGTAAGTAACCAAAGGCCCTGGAAGGAGCGAACCAAGAACAGATCATCGTCCACGTCCCTTCCGGGGAGTCTCCTGTGCGCCGGGCCCGAGGCCGGGAACCTGAGGACCAGGTTGTTGTCCAGAGGCTTCTGCCTCAGAACAACCATCGTTTCCAAAGCAGCCAGAGGCGAAGCTGTGGGCCCACTGGTCCGGGCAGCCACTCTGTGCACGGAAGACCGGGGCTGACCCAGGACGCACGCCTGGCCTGGGGAAGAGAGTGTGGAGTGGAACACAGGACCTGGGGTAACGTGCCGAGCGCCGGCCACGTGCAGCCACCTTGCTGGGCCCTTAGCAGGGTGACGGCACCCATCTTACAGATGAGGAAACCAAGGGCCACTCAGGAGCCGGTAAGGGGCAGTCACAGCCGGAACAACCCTGGGCCTTCCGCCTACAAAGGCCAAGCTCTTAACCCTAATTAACTTCGAATGACACCAGTAACCACCAGATGAGCGACTGAGCTTAGAGAGGTTCGGGAACTTGCCCAAGGTCACCCCGCCGGAGCGCCAGAGCTGGGACCGGATCCGGGCACCTCCGACAACGGGACAGTCCTAGCTGGAAGCCCGTGGCCTGGCAGGAAAGCCCCAGGAGGCTCTCCCGAGGCTCCATCCTGGGAGAGGGACCTCACGGATGAGCGAGGCTACAGCCCAGACCGCTAGCACGGGACCCCCCTCCCCGCTCCCCGCCGCCACCCCAGGCCTCCGTGGTGGGCTGGGCTGCAGTGAGTGTTATTTACGCTGTGATGTTGGTTAATCCTCATTACTGCTTTTAAGCTCGGCTGTGAATGGTGATTTTCTAAATGTCACGTCCTGTAAGCGCCATGTGACATTTAGCGGGAAGGCGCGGGGTCTCTGGTGGGTTTTGGGGTGGCGGCAACTCTCAGCTCCACTGTCCATCATAAATGACGCTGGCACCGTGGCGGTGGTGGCACTAGTTGGCCTGAGGCGGCAGGCCCCTGGGACACAGGGTCTACTGCTCAGCAGCCTCCAGGCTAGCCCAGTGGGGTGACCATGGTGCAGAGGCAGCCGGGGCCCTAGCAAGGCCCCCATATCCCCCTCAAGCCCAGAGGCAGCTGGAGAGTTAGGAAGGCCAGGGAAGCTGAGCTCCTACCAAGCCCCAGGCATTGGGTAAGTGTATTACAGATGGGGAAACTGAGGCATAGGGACCGGCCCAAGGGAGGAGGGTCGAGCAGGGGTGTGACTGCAGACCAAGGGTCTCTCTTCTGCCCTGCCTTGCCTCTCCCGCTTGCTGGGGGCAGCACCCAGCCAGGCCCTGCAGGTGAAGGACCTAGAGCTGCAGCAGAGGGAAGAGGAGGAGGCAGGAAGGGGCAAGGGCCCCATGACCGTGGGCGCGGGGGCACCATGCCAGGAGAACAGGGCTCCTGAGATGGGGCCAGGAAGCCAGGATCTGCCCCAGAAACCCCGTGGGTGAGCGACCGACTTGAGCCCTGGGCTGATGTGGGCCCCGAGGAGGCCAGGGAAGTGCACAGAGGGGGCACCGCACCCCAGGCCAGGCACAAGGTGCTGGCCACTCATGTGTCTCCCTCCTCTCTTTTCCCTGGAAGGAGCCTGCACCCAGCCCCGCGGCTCCCACAGTCCCCAGTGCATCCCCAGGACAGAGATGGAAGCAGAGCTTTGTGGACAAGGGGTTTGATTTGCCCAGTTTCCCCTACACCCCACTGTTTAACCCCAGTCCCCACTCTGTGGACTGAGAGGCTGCAAGGAGTCTGGGGTCTGCAGGGGCTTTAGGGGGCAGCACCCTCGCCATGGGCCACACTCCAGGGCCCTTCCTCTGTCTCCCCTCCACCTCCTGTGCACTGCCTCCGTCCCCAGCCCCCATCCCTCCTCCACGGAGCATCTAGCCTTTCTTCTAGAACGCAGTGCTGACCATGCCTACTCCCCACCGTGAGTCCTAGGAAGCTCCTTGCCGACCTTAGGGCAAGGTCTCAAATCCTGGGGCTGGATGGTGAGGCCCTGGGTGACCTGACTACCTCGCCTCTCCCCTCAACCCTTGCCTCCACCTCGACCAGGGCCTTGTGGACCCTGGACTGTTCATCCCACTGGGCTCTTGCACAAGCTGTTCTGCCCCTAGACTGCTGCTCTCTCCTTGTAGGGCTCAGCTCAGGTGTCACCTCCTCCAGGGAGCCTTCCCGGGCTCCCAGAGGCCCTGAGCTTGGCTCGCTCACACTGGCTTGTGACTGTCCATTTATGGGTCTGCCCTCCTGTTAGAAGGCGAGCTCCCTGCGGGCAGCACCCACCCTGAGGTCTCAGCACGGGGGCTGGCGCACAGAGCGTGTGGGACGCGTGCATGTTCGGCAGGAGAACAACAGGAAGGAGAATGGCGGTGGGGGTTGGGGGAGAAGGAGGAACTGAGACATGATAGAGCACATCTGTTCCCACCAGGGATCTGTGTGGAGATTAACATCCCTGCAAACACATTAATATGTCAACGAAAATATAAAAGCAGGTGATAACAGCTCAAGTAATGCCGCTTCCCAACGACGCCCCAATTCCTAGGAGCCAAATTTCAGAAGAGCAAGCGCGGAGCAATTGCTCAATCCCCAGCGCCTGGTGGAAAAGACGGAGAATCCATGTCTGGCCCTGTTTGCAAGTGTTGCTGGGAGCAAGGTGGGGGCTCCAGCGTAGCTGGCCTCGCTCAGAAGCAGACAGACTGGGCTGGGGGAGGGAGGCAGTGGGGGCCCACAACGGCCAGCATGCGGACTGGTCAAGCCAGCAGGGGAGCAGGGTCTTGGGCTTAGGGGTCCACACAGAGGCTGTGCAGCCTCAGGCTGGTGAATAAACCTCTCTGAGCTTTGCTATCTGAGGACAGTGTGCACTTAGTGAATGATATGTGTGCTCAACATGGTTGTGGCTCAGAGGAAGTGCTCCATCAGTGGAGCTTGATGGTTCCTGAGTCCAGACTCACAGTGGGGGCCTGGTCCTGGGCCCCAGGAGGAGGGGCACTGGGGGCTGAGCAGTACGGGGGAGTCACTCAGCCTCTCAGAGACGTCCGGTCTTGGCCATTACATGGGAATGAAGGGATCCCTCAAGTGCTGGAGGGGCCCCAGGGAGATCTTTCGGGTTGCCGATGTCTGGAGGGTCCCAGGCCGGGAAACAGAGCTGGGCCACACAGACATGGCTCTGTCCCCCAGGTTACTGGGTATCCTTGGGTAAGTCTCCTAGCTTTTCTGGGCTCAGTTTTTCCTTTGGGAAGTTGGACGCACAACACATTTCCCCAGATTCTGTGAGCTGGGGTTCTGACCTAACACAGGGTTCTGTCCCCGTTCCTTCTGTGAGGCAGAAGTGACAGACTGTGGGCAGGCTGGGGCGCTGGGGACGCCAGAGGGGTGCTTTCTGTCCATGGCTGGACCTCTCCCAGAAAATGGGCATGGAGCTCGAGGGGGCACTCGCCAGGCTGAGGGGCTGCCTGACCCTGGGCTCCCTGGATCCTCGCACCCCCCCAGACCTGGCCTGCCTGCCAGGCACACTCACCTTGATCATCTGCGAGAGATCCCCCGCGTCGGCCAGCTCCAGTACAATGTTCAGCTCGTTGTCCTCAATAAACGAGTCCAAATACTTGATGATGTTGGGATGGTTCAGTTGCTGTCCAAAGGGAAAGACAGGGAGGCAGAACCAGTGAGGGACAGTTCAGCCCCGCGCCTGCGCCGTGCTGGCTCCCAGCTGGCCCCTGTTAGCGGGGCTCATACTGCAGAGGGCTGTGTCACCTGGGAGTCAGGCAGGTCTGGGCCACACCGGGAAGGCCCTTCTGCATCTCTGAGTCTGTGTCCTCATCTGTACAATGGGCGTAATGTGCTGAAGGGCAGTAGTGAGGACTGGATGGGCCAAGACCGCTGAAATGTCTAACGCGGAGACTGCCCTGAGCTGCGACTCCATGGGACAGGACCCTGCTCCTCCTCTCCCTCACCACCCGCGACCCTCCAGGGTAGGGCTGGGCCCCCACCGCTCCGGCGCTGTGCTCAGCAGGCCTGCAGCTGGTGCTCCCCAGTGTGTCCATCTCCCTTCTTCCTCCCCACCCTCAATTTGACACACCCTTGTGAAATCTGGAAAGACCCCAAGCATTCCTGGCACGAGAGCCACCCTGAGTGCTCTGCTCCGCGCCGAAGCCCGGACTCAAAACATTCTGCCAGAGCTTGGTCGGCCAAGTCCACAGGGGCGCCCGTCAGCCGACAAGCAGAGGCCACTCTAGTGCACACTGTCTAGAAGGCCTCTAGGTTGCTGTGAAGGGGACGTGTGTTTATGCTGTGCCAACCTATGCCCGTCTTTGGATTCTAAAATGAGGGGGGAACCCTGGCAGAGATCACATGGCTATGCCATCCCCCATTTATTCTTTTCCCCCAGCCAGCTCTGGATGGCAGGCACCCCTCAATCAGACCCCCAGGAGCCACAGATGGCCTGTCACTGGCCATGTGTCTCCTTCAGCTCCACCCTACCTGCCCGAGTCCTCAGGCCCCTGCTCTCGGTGTGGGTTCACCGGCTTCCACCGCCAGCCCGCCCCTCCCCGCCGCCAGCCAGCACCAGCCCATCTCGAAGGGCTGTCCTGCTGGGCTGCCCAGCAAACGTTGTAATTCTAGTTTCAGCTTCTACATTTAGGTCTATGATCCATTTCAAATACACCTTTATGTTCAGTGTGAGGTAGGGGTCAAGGCTCACTTCCGTCCACTTGGACGTCCAGTGTTCCCAGCACCTGGAATTGAAAGTCTTTCTTTCATCCGCTGAATTGTTTTGGTGCCTTTGTCAAAAAATCACCTAGCCCAGATTTTGTTTTGACGTCTCCCTGGAGCTTAACACTGCCCATCACACCAGCTGCCCTCAGCACACATCACGTTCCAGATGTTTTATTTTTTTTTTTTATTTTTTTAAAGATTTTATTTATTTATTTGACAGAGAGACAGCGAGAGCAGGAACACAAGCAGGGGGAGTGGGAGAGGGAGAAGCAGGCTTCCTGCGGAGCAGGGAGCCCGATGCGGGGCTCGATCCCAGGACCCCGGGATCATGACCTGAGCCGAAGGCAGACGCCCAACGACTGAGCCACCCAGGCGCCCCCAGATGTTTTTTTCATTTACAACAAGATATCGAAGCAAATGGAATGCCGGCACTTCATAAAGCTGAAGATGCTTTACAATCGTGAATGCACGTTATGAAGTATCAGCATTGTTGTTGTTATAAACACAAGTCCTCCCCCTCCTTTCACCCCACTCCCTGGACCTCACCTCATGACTTCCCCGGGAAACCTCACACCCTTCTCAGGGGGTGCTCCCAGAGACCGGCCAAGGTCACCAGCAGGCTGGGCATCACTGTTTTGCAGATGACTTGGAAAAATTGGAGGGGGTTTGGGTGGGAATTAAAGCTTCAGTCAAGGGGGCTGTTCCCGCCAGGTGCGGGCTCCTGGGGAGAAGAAGGGGAGGCTTCTCTCCCTGCTCTTAACGGCAATTCTGAGGAGGAGAGGTGAAGCAAAGGCTCCCTCGAATATCTGGCCAGGGTACAAAGGCACAGATGGAGGCCAAAAGGTCAGCTGGGGGAAATCCCCAAAGCCTGGCGAGGGAAGGGGTTGACTCTGGGACCGGGCTGGGCCCAGAACCTGGTCTAGTAACCACAGACTGCTGTCCACCCATAGTCCCCTTATCAGCCTGTAGTCTGTTGGTGGGCCCAGGTGTGTCTTTTTTTTTTTTTTTTTTTTAAGATTTGTTTATTTGAGCAAGAGAGAGAGAGGGAGCGTGCACACGCACAAACAGGAGGGGCAGAGGGAGAGGGAGAGAGAATCTCAAGCACAGAGCCCCATGCAGGGTTCGATCTCACAATCCTGAGATCACAACCTGAGCTGAGACCAAGAGTCAGACGCTTAACCAACTGAGCCACCCAGGTGCCCCTCAGGTGTGTCTTAGAGTGGACACACTTGGGCCAAAATGTAAGAAGTGCTCCAAAGATGCGGAGTGGTTGGGGTCTGCGGTTTGCGAGTGGGGGAGGGGTGGCTGCTTTGGCTTCATGTATCTGGGGTTCAGGGAAGCCACACCTCTAGATTCATCTCCAGTGCAGCTTCCCCTGGCGGCATCGGCCAGCCTCTCGCTCTCCTGTGTCCCCACGATCCACACCCATCCCTCTCTCCCACAATCCAGAGCTCCACAGAGTGGGGCTGTCCCCGCAGCTCCAGGCCAGGCCTGACGGTGGTGGTGGCTGCCGAGGGCTGGACGATGGCCGGAGGGAAGGAAGGCAGAGGTGACGGTAATGGGCTCAGGTTCCCTCTTCGAATCTCTGTCCCACCTGTGGCCCCTCTGGGACCTGCTACAGCAGTCTGTCCAGGATGTGTTTCCCCTGCTGACTGCATCCTTGAGTCCAGGGCTCAGGGGTGCTCCCGGCTGCGCTGACCATGCGAATACATGATCTCTGCCTGTCTTCCGATAGGGCCCACCTCCCTGCCCCACGTCTGGTGGCCTCTGCACTGGGAGGTTTTGGGGTTCGGGTCCTGGCATGAATGGTGTGAAACGGTGTCGCCTCGTGACCCCTCCGAGAACTGTGTTTCCCTCTGTTTTGCCGGAAACACCTCGTGCCCGGGGAACATCCTGCTGACCTCCCGTGGGCAGGTTGGGGAGCTGGGTAAGGGCTGGCGTCGAGCGGCAGATGTTATAACCGTGATGACAAGGGCTGCCCGTGACGAGCACGTGCCACACGCCAGATGCGAGCGACACTGAGCCCTTCCAACCCAACTTCTCACGAATTCCCCCGACAGCTGAGGTCAGCACTGACATCATCACCCCCTTTTATGGACGAGGAAATGGGAGGTCCCGAGCGGTCAATAGCTGGCCCACGCCACACAGCTAGAGAGTGAGGAGTGTGCCCACCTCTCAAGCCATGGTCAACGGCATGTGGCTACACGGCAGCCCGAGGAAGGGACAGAGCCCCCCCGTCCCCCGCGGCAGGCCCAGGTCACACCAAGCCTGGCCCCCTTCACTGGAGCCCAGAGACCCGGAACAAGCTGGCTCAGAACGTGCGCACACATCATTCCTTCCCCACCGTGATTGGCACACGTGCGTTCCTGGCCACCAAAGGGGAGAGAGGGTGGGTGACTGGGACAGCCAGTCCCCAGGGCTGGGTAATCGGAGTCCTGAGATCACACCTGGGGCCCAAAGTTGACCATCACGTAAAGTTTTAAAAATGTTATTTGAAGGGAATTTTTGGACCTATGATAGAGTTGAGGACACTTCCCGATAATCCTCCCTGCGAGCCCTCGTGGCCAGGGTCCCCTCCCAGCAAGTGCTCACGAGTCACATGGGGCCCCATGCCCCCTGCTCTCAGCCCCTTCAGGGGCTCCCCTGTTGTTCCCACGTTCAAGTCCCACCTCCTGAGTGTGGCGTCCGAGGCCTAACTGCACACCATCAGGACCCCTGCAGCAGGCTCCTGTCGGCCTTCCAGATTCTGGGACGGGACCCTGGCCTCTGTGGGGCTTCTCCGGCACTCCCTGGGCCCGGGTCGGCCAGCCTCACTCCCACAGCCCCCCAGACCGGGCTGCTGGCCTGCTCCTCACTGCCTCGGAGGGGACCGGGCCTGAGAGCCCAGGGTGGACCCCGCAGTGCAAACCGCTAATCTGGAATCCTGCGGTAGGGGTCCGTGTCCTCGCCACCAGCAGCCTCACTGTGCGGGAAGCTGCGGAGCCAGCCCTCCGTCTCACGGAGAGGGCGAACACCGAGTGAGTGCCTGCTGCGCGCTCTACTGGGCCAGGTACTATTTCATCTCTTCGGATACGATTTAATCTTCTCTAACTGCCCATATCCCGTGCGGCAGGTACTCTCACCACCAAGCAGATGGGCAAACGGAGGCTCCGGGAGGCTCAGTCACTTGCTTAAGGTCACACAGCTTGTAAATGAAGACATGAGGATTTGAACTCAAGCTCCTGGGCCTCCGAAACCTGTACCATTCCTCCTCCTCCATCACCTCTGAGACCCCAGGCAGAATCCCAAGCCTGGGGAACAGGGAGGGATCTCCAGGAGGGAGCAACCCTAGGCTGGGGCTGAATCTAGTCCAGAAAGTTCTATTGTCTCTGACTGTGGGGAAACCCATGAGGAAGCTGGCAGGGAGGGGGAAGGAAAGACCATCCCCCACCCCAAGGTGCCCTGGTAGGTCTGTCCTTTGTACAAGCCCCTCCAGTGTGCCTCCTCTCTGGGGAGGCCTGGGAAGAGCCCAACAGGATGACAACCCAGGTCCCTTGGGCACCAGGAACCTGGGCCGCACACCTGGCTGTGCATCCTCTCCAGCGTCCCAGGCTGGCCTTGCTGAGTCACCCAGATGAGTGGAGCATCTCCTGGGTGGCAGCAACTTGGTGCCCTCAGGGGAAGGACTTTGGTGCCAGGCACTGCCGTCCATAAACACAACCAATGTGGGGCCAGGACAGGCAGCCTGGGGGTGCCATGAGGGCTGGGCAGACGTGAGGTGGGGTCCACGCCCATCCAACCATGAGAAAACAAATGAGCCACTACCCTCAAAAGGCTGTTGTTTCTGAATCTAACAGGCTACGGGCTGTGAAGGCCATGAGGTGGCCCGGTCTGGGGACCAGGCCACCTCAAGGAAGCGAGGGGCTCCTGCTCAGCCCAGGGCACTCACCTTCAGGAGGCCAATCTCTTTGACGCAGTCCTGCCTGGCTTTGGCGTCCATCATCTCAAATATCTTGGGCGAGAGGAAAAATAGAAAGAGTGGTTAAAACCCAGCTCCCAGAGCCCCCACTGGGAGCCACAAGGACTGGAACTCCCAAAACCCATCACGGCACAAAAAGGCAGGACAAAGGGGCGCCTGGGTGGCTCAGTCGTTAAGCGTCTGCCTTCGGCTC